GGGGGTCAGGGTCGGGAATATTGCCTATACAGAATTCTGCCTCATTATGCAATTTTCTACCTTCTAGTCTTATCATTTCTTTGAAAGATTTTTCTACTTTCATTCCTAATTCAGCTGACCTAATTACCAAATACAATAGGGCTCTTTTAGCCATTTTTTACTCTTGTTATTGGGGTCAAACTGTTATTTACTCTTGTTATTGGGGTCAAACTGTTATTTCATATTTCAAGATGAACATTAGCTGGCAAATACTTATAAATGTTCACAACTAATCAGGGGAAAACATGCTGTGACTATATTGGGGTTTTTTTGTTTTGTTTTGTTTTGTTTTGTTTTTTGACCCAAATTAGATCAGGGCCTTTTTATTAATTGACTACAGATAGTGTCCAGTCATTCTGAACATCAACTATTTTTTTTTTTTTATCTTTATTGTTGAATGTATTACAGATGTTCCTCATTTTTCCCCCATTGACCCCCTCCTCGCCACCCCACCCCCCTCCTGCCTTTTCCCACACTGTTGTCTGTGTTCATTGGTTGTGCATATAAGTTCTTTGGTTTATTTCTTCCCATCCCCAACCCCCTTCTCTTTGAGGTTTGTCAGTCTAGCAACCAATTTGTTCTTCTTAATCTCTTCACCTTTTTCACCCATTCTCCCAAACCCCCTCCCATCTGGCAACCAACAAAATGTTCTCTGTATCTATGAGAATGTTTCTGTTCTGCCTGTTCATTTTGTTTGTAGATTCTATTGCCGATAGATATGTATTCATTGCCATTTTATTTGTTCATATATTTTATCTTTTCCTTCAAAAAAACCCTTCAACATTTCATATAATAACGGTTTGGTGGTGATGAACTCCTTTAACTTTTTCTTGTATGGGAAACTATATGGCCATCAATTCTAAATGACAGCTTTGCAGGATAGAGTAATCTTGGTTGTAGGTTCTTGCTTTTCATCACTCTGAATATTTCTTGCCACTCCCTTCTGGCCTGCAAAGTTTCTTTTGAAAAATCAGCTGACAGTCTTATGACAACTCCCTTGTAGGTAACTAACTGCTTTTCTCTTGCTGCTTTTAAGATTCTCTCTTCGTCTTGAACCTTTTGCATTTTGATGATGATGTGTCTTGGTGTGGGCCTCTTGGGGTTCATGTTGTTTGGGACTCTCTGTGCTTCCTGGACTTGTATGTCTGTTTCCTTCAGCAAGTTAGGGAAGTTTTCTGCCATTATTGTTTCCAATAGGTTTTCTATTTCTTGTTCTCTCTCTTCTCCTTCTGGCACCAGCAAGATGCGAATGTTGGCACGCTTGAAGTTGTCCCAGAGGCTCCTTACACTATCCTCATTTTTTTGGATTTTTTTTCTTTTTCTGATTGGGTGTTTTTAGCTTCCTTGTATTTCAAATCGATGGTTTGCTTCTTGGCTTTACCTACTCTACTATTGAATCTGTGTAAATTACTCTTTATTTCAGTTAGTGCCTCCTTCATTTCTGACTGCATCCTTCATTTCTGACTGGTCCTTTTTAATGCTCTTGAGGCCCTCACTAAGTTCATTGAGCATCCTTATAAGTAGTATTTTGAACTCAGCATCTGTTAGGTTGCTTATCTCCATTTCGCTTAGTTCTTTTCCTGGAGTTTTGTTCTGTTCTTTCATTTGGGACCTGTTTCTTTGTCTTCTCATTTTGGCTGCCTCCTGTGTTTGTTTCTGTGTATTACTTAAGAGGTATGGGGCTATCTGAGACCAGATGCTGCTTGTTTGAAAGAATTTAGGAAAACCTGAAGCCGGATCCAAGACAGGCCAATCCTATGGTTAAGCAAGTGGCAACAGCTTGGGTGGGCCTGACAGTTGGGTGGGGCAGGGCCTCAGGGAATCACCAGGGTGGGGCTACCAGTGTGAGCCAGGTTGCTGGAGTCCCAGATATGGCGGCTGTTTGCCACCCCAGGAAAGGGCTCCCCAAAGGAACAAAGGCCTCTGGCAGCACGTTTGTCCCGGAGAAAGCCCCCTGTCCAGCCCTCGCTCCAATGCCAAACAGCTCAGTTCTTCCCTATATGTCTCTGGCGCCCCTCCATCTGCCTCCCCTCCAAGCTTGGAGGGAACAAGTCCGATAAGTCCGTGCACGGGCCCTTTAAGAGGAGCTGCCTGGGGCTCCAGCCACCTCAGCCTCCCTGAGCCTCAGTTCCCGCTGGTTTTTCCAGCCAGAAGTTATGGGGACTTCTCTTCCTGACACTGGAACCCTAAGTGGGGCATTAGTGTGGGATGGGGACCCCTCAGTCCTCAGGGAGGACCTTCCCAGCCAGGTATCCTTCTGATTTTGATCCGCCACACATGGGTGTGGGGCCAACCTGTCTGCCTCTGTTCCTCCTACCAGTCTCGATGCAGTTGCTTCTTTAATTCTGTAGTTGTAGGACTTCCATTCAGTTTGATTTCAGGTGGTTTTGAATGATGGTTGTTCTGTAGTTTAGTTGTAACTTTGATGTGGTTGTGGTAGGACGTGATACCGCGTTTACCTACGCCGCCATCTTGACCGGAAGTCTCTGAATATATATATTGTTTTTAAGACGTTGACCAACCTGTGTGTCTATAAAAAAAAGGTTACCTCGGTTGCAGTTTGTCCCCGGCCCTGGTCGGTCGTGTGGGTGGCAGCCACTCGATGTGTTCCTTTCACATCGATGTTTCTCTCTCTCTCTCTGTTCCTCTCTCTCCCTCCCACTCTACCTGAACAAAAAATAGAAAAATGTCCTCAGGTGAGGATAAAAAATAAAAATAAAAATAAATAAAAAAAAGGTTACCGAGCTCAGAGCCTCAAACTTTTAAAGCCAGTTTTTCTACCATTGTGCTCCTGGTAAAAATGCAGATGAGCCCTGGCCGGTTTTGCTCAGTGGTTAGAGCATCGGCCTGCGGTCCAGAGAGACCTGGGTTCGGTTTCCACTAAGGGCACGTACCTCGGTTGCAGTTTGTCCTCAGCCCTGGTTGGGTTGTGCGGGTGGCAACCACTCGATGTGTCCCTTTCACGTTGATGTTTCTCTCTCTCTCTCCTTCCTACTCTATCTGAACAAAATATGGAAAAATGTCCTCAGGTAAGGATAAAAAAAAAATGCAGATGAGTCTACAGGTTTGGCAAGACCCTTGAGTGATTCTGATTCCTAACTTTCAGAAAGAATCACCTGTGTGGGAGGGAGGGGACGGGCAGGTAACTTGAAAGATGGAGGGGCTGCCCAAGCAAGGTGATCAGGAGGCTGTGACCAATGTCCAGGTGGGAGGAAATAAAGGCCTGAAATGCTGCTGTAGTAAAAGGAGTGGAGAGAGAGGGCAAATGCAGGAACCAGATTGAGTTGGCCTGCAGCTGTGTCAAATTCAGTGCCTGCCCCACCCATGGCAGGCACTGGCCCAGAAGGCTGCCATAGAAACACTGTGACTCATGGGCCCTGATCCCCTCTGCTGGGCCTCAGGGATAAATTTGGTTACAGACACCAAGAAAAATGGGGGGAAAAGATTGAGTTGATGATCTAGGTATGGATGACAAAACACAGAACTTCAGACCAGGCAGAGAGATTCAGGAAGCTCTAGTTCCTTATTGGGGGTGAAGAATGATATTAATGAAGGGAAAGCAATGCTTTGGATGGGGTGAATTTCTTGAGGCCAGTAATTAATCTTTCTTGTCTTTGATTCCGGGTGATTACCTGGTTTGCAGATTATTTACTGAGTGCCTACTTTATGCCAGGTGCTGGGAATAGGAATGAGATGAACCAGCAGATTATCTGTGGGAAGGGCATTCTGGCAGAGGGAACAGTAAAGGTGATGGCTGTGAGGGGTGGAGAAGGGCTTGCTGTCAAGAGACAAGAAGAAGGCCAGTGCAGCTAGAGCTGAGTGAGGAGGGGCATGGGAGGTGATGAGGTCAGTACAGCTTTGAAGAAGGCTTATAGAAAAATATATTGCTAATGAAGGAGCTTCCTGACAAAAGAAGCCTGTTGCTATATAGAGGAATAGGAATTAATATAGAGCTTTATTCCCTGCTAACTCTAAAGGAGAGTGATACAATATAAAAATGGTTAAAAGAACATTGATCCGGCCTTGGCCAGTGTGGCTCAGTTAGTTGAGCATCATCCTATGTACCCAAAGGTTGCCGGTTCAATTCCCTGCCAGGGCACATGCTCAGATTGCAGGTTCAGTCCCTGATCGGAGTGCATACGGGAGGCAGAAGATCGATGTTTTTTTTCTCTCTCTCTCCCTCTTCCTCCCTCTCTCTAAAATCAATAAAAATATATTTTAAAAAAATAACATTGATCCAGAAACGGGGAAATGTAGCTCCTGTATTAATCTTCCCTTTTGCCCCATGTTAATTATTTCACTGCTCATTTCTGGAAGTGCAGAATCGGTTCTTTGTAGCACTCTTGGGGGCATTTAGGAGGCAGCCTTTATAAGGGCCTCAGGCTTCCCAGAATAGGGATGAGACTGGGTCAGTTAAAGTAGACATAAACAGCCCTGGCCAGTTTGGTTTATCAATTAGAGCAGCAGTTCTCAACCTGTGGGTCGCAACACCTTTGGGGGTCGAACGACCCTTTCACAGGGGTCGCCTAAGACATAATAGTAGCAAAATTACAGTTATAAAGTAGCAATGAAAATAATTTTATGGTTGGGGGTCACCACAACATGAGGAACTATATTAAAGGGTCACAGCATTAGGAAGATTGAGAACCACTGGGTTAGAGCATCAGCCGTGGGACCAGAGTCGCAGGTTTGATTCCAGTCAAGGGCACATACCTTGGCTGTGGTTTGGTCCCCGGCTCTGGGGACGTACAGGAGGCAACCAGTCGATGTGTCTCACATTGATCTTTCTCTCTCTCCCTCTTCCTCCCACCCACTCTATCTGAAGATAAATGGAAAAGTATCCTTGGGTGAGGATTTAAAAAAAAAAAAAAGTAGACATAAACATACTGTGACTTGGTCTGCCCCAGAGGGATGTTCACTTCTTTCCCTTATTCCAACCTAGGCCTCTCTTTTCCAAGCAGGATTGGCTGCTGTGGTCCCTGCTACTTCTCTGCCTCATATGCAGAACAAGAGCCTTCTATGTCCCTGGGGTCGCGCCGATCAACTTCCACCAAAACGATCCTGTAGAAATCAAGGTAAGTGTGTTCCTGGACTGTTGGAGCCTCTGTGCTGGGCAGTCTGGTTGGAGGACCAGGGGGAGCTGGTCTTATCCATCCTATGGTTGCAGAGAAAAAAGACCAGTGCCAAATAGCCTGGGAAAAAAGGTTAAGAGGGTTCACTGTATGCTACACAGGCTGGAAGTAGAGTGTCTTCAGGAGCCCACAGTTCTGAGTACTCTGCCTCTTCTCTCTCTCTCTCTTTCTCTTTCTCTTTCTCTCTCTCTCTCTCTCTTTCTCTCTCTCTCTCTCTCTCTCTCTCTCTCTCTCTCTCAGTGTGTGTGTGTCTCTTTGTCTCTCTGTTCCCTCTGTCTCTTTCTTTGCCTCTGGCTCTGCATCTCTGCCTGTGTGGGTATGTTGTCTCTCTGTCTCTCTCTTTGGCTGTCTTCATTTCTTTGTCTCTCTCGCTTTCATTCTCATACATGTTTCTCTCTTTCTCTCTCTCTCATCCCTTTTTTTTTTCCTGTGACTCTGTCTCTTTCAACCTGCCTCCTCTATGACATCTGTCGTCCACTTTCATCTATTCCATCTCCTCTCTTACCAGCTTTCCCTGCGTAACTTTTATCGTCTGTACACACACAGCCTCTTGTAGCCTCTGTTTTTTCAATTCTAGCTTCTGCCACCAATGGGTTCTCTAGTTCAGTTATCTCCAAATTGTGCACTGCATATCTGAATGGTGGTATATGAGGTGATTTTAAATGGTTGACAAATTTATTTTTTTTTTAAATTTTTCTTTATTGATTTTAGAGAGAAAGGGAGAGGGAGATAGAAACTTCGATGAGAGAGAACATCAATTGGCCACCTCCTGCATGCCCCTCACTGGGGATCGGGCTCACAACCTGGGCATGTGTCCTGATCGGGAATCGAACTGGTGACCTCTTGATGCATGGGTCGATGCTCAACCGCTGAGCCACACTGGCTGGGCAAATATATTTTATTTTACTAACTATTTTCTTTTACTGTCTATTAGAAAATGTAGCTAATACTTCACTTATGGTTTCATGGCTGTCATTGTTGATTTTCTGTTTTTAATATTGATATAATGTTTGCTTCTTAAATATGTTTACCAGAAAAATGAGTCAGATCCAAGTAAATAGTAGAATAAGTGGCAAGTAGATAGGGCAAGTTGGCACATGAACAATTAGGACTTGAGAAGCATTGCTCTAAATCAGAATCCAGAGAGAAGCTTTCCAGCTGGGCTGCCTTAACTTTTCAGGCCGAATGCCCATCTGTGGGTCAGTAAACTGTGGCAGGGGTGGAGAGTAGAGTAGAAGGGAGTCACTTAAAAAAGTGTTAAGCGGGGGCAGTGGGCAGGCTGACACCTTGATTATGACTCTAAAACAGTGGACTTTTGGTGGCATTCTCAGAGCCCCAAGCAGGGCTGGGTGTTGATGGTGGATCTTCTTGGATCTGGTTTCCTAGGAAACAAATTCTAAGGTGGAGATTTGGTGCAGGAGATGTACTGGGGAGACACTCAGGGTCAGCACTTGGTGGGAGTGAGGGAAGCTGGACTGGGCAAAGGGAGACGTTGAGATGTGGTACAGCTGAGGCCTGTGGGAAGCTCTGGAACAGGAATGGCTGGGCCTTTAGAGTTGTTCCAAGTTGAGACAAGAGGGCCAGCCTCTATATCCTGCCATAGACCAGTCATTGGATACAGACTGCTACCAGGGAAGGGATGTAACCTTTAACAAGGGCTCCCACCTAAAGGGACTCCCCTCTACTACACCCAAATATACACTCTTAATACTTTGGTGTGATTTTATTAGTCTTTTTTTCTCTGCAGTGTCTGCAGGATAGAATACTTGGCATTCTCACACCTCCATCAATCCCCCATAGACAAAATAATGTGTAATTGGAATTTTTGACGTATCCTTCAGATTCTCAGTGATCCTATAAAAAGAGCTAGCAGAACTTGCAAAGTTAAAATAAATTCAACTCCTAAAATAAATGTACATTTTTTGCTTCATTACCATGTTGATGTGAACCACATCTTTACTGCTCTGTGGAAAAGCAAGCAGTGAGATTGTATGAAAATAAAGTTTTTATTCTTTCCTGAGCATCACAGTGTTCAGAAGGAGAAGCAGAAGACAAGAAAATCACAAAGGGCTATCCACATGACATGCTGTCATGTATAGGTCCCTTTGTTTGCCACCAAATTTTAGGCATTTTCAAAGTTGCTACACATCTTGCTCATTTGGGACATCAGTTACAAGTACCTTGATGAGCTCAGGGAACTGGAAGCCAAAGACCACTGTGTTTATGGATAGGAGTGAACTACTTTGTTCCTAAAGGTTTTTACTCATTTGGAGTTATTTCCTTAGGAAAGATGCCCAGAAGTGAAATTATAGGGTCAGAGGATACCAGCATGTTGAAGGCTCTCAATATATATTGAATTTGTGATTTTATTTTTTTTATTACTATTTTTTTATCCTCACTCGAGGACATTTTTGCATTCATCTTCAGAAAGAGTGGGAAGGAGAAAGGGAGGGGGAGAGAGAGAGAGAAGCATCCATGCGAGAGAGAGACATTGAGTGGCTGCCACCCACACGACCCCAACCAGGGCCAAGGACAAACCACAACCGAGGTATGTGCCCTTAGCGGGAACCGAACCCGGGACTCTCTGGTCCGTGGGCCAACGCTCCAACCACTGAGACAGACTGGCCAAGGCAAATTTGTTTGTGATTTTAAACAAAGTCTGTAATGTAGTTTAATAAACTAATGAAATGTGAAATAATTCAGAATTATGGACAGTAGCGTATACAGTATACTACATTTGTGTCTCCAGCAGTTTGTTTGCCTCTTAGATAATATTACTGAGCATGCCAAAGATGTGTGGGTACCAAGGAGGATTACTGAAATAGTCTGGATTGAATACTAATGGTCTCTTTTCTCCCACTAGGCTGTGAAGCTCACCAGCTCTCGAACCCAGCTACCTTATGAGTACTACTCACTGCCCTTCTGCCAGCCCTTAAAAATAACCTACAAGGCAGAGAATCTGGGTAAGTTCTTCTCTCTTGCTTCTGTCTACTTGTCCCAGTGGGAACCCAGATCTTGTCATAATGATAGTAGCAGTTAACCCTTATGTAACACTGTGTGCTGGACAGTTTACATAGTTTACATACATATTAGCTTAGTTAATCTTCATAAAGGCCCTAGGGAGGTAGCTGTTATCTTTATTCCCATTTTACAGGTGAAGTGACTTGCCTTTGGTTATGTTGTTAATCAATGAATAAGATAGGCTTGGCATCAGTGTAGTCAGGCTTCAGACTTGGAGCCCTTGGCCACTGTTCAGATTGGTTCTCCTTTGATTTCTAGATATTATACCTCTCTCTCTCTCTCTCTCTTTCTCTCTCTCTCTCTCGGCTTCTGCAACCTGCTATACTTTTAATTAAAAGAGTGAGTGATCACCTTTGGCCCTAAAGGAAGCAGAGACATCACTATAGTTCTTGTTATGCTGTGCAGGACTCACCTCAAGTAATGTGTAAAGCACCAAGGCAACGTCTAGCACACGTGTTCCATAAATAGCAGCCACTTAATTCTAATTCAGATAATTCTCTGTCTGACAGAATTTCAGGCTTAAAGGAAAAGATATTTGGAGGCATCTATTCAGGACACAACTATTAGTACTTATTTCTGTGCCTATCTCAGTGATAAGGCCTGGAGATGAAAATGTGGAAAGATACTCTCCTTAACTTCAAGGACCTTAAGAGACTTAACTCTTCTCTTATACTTTAGGAAGGAGAAATGAGAGAACTAGTTCTTGAACATGCCCCTGTGTCAGGGCTACCCATGGCTCAGATGTTTTCAGAACTACTAGCTGACAAGTATATCTACTGCCAGGTATTGGGTGTCCCAGATCAGCTGGAGATAGGCCTTGGAGCCAGTGTAACCAAAAAGGGGTAGCACCACCTATCTCTTAAGTCTTTTACTATTGAACAGAGATTGGTCTCAGGGCCTGGGCTCTTCTCCTGCCTGCCACTTACCCTTCTTTTCGCTCCACATTACACTGTGCTCTGCATATAAGTTCTTTGCATATAAGTTCTTTGGTTTATCTCTTCCCACCCCCCTCACCACCCCCCGATCCCTCTGATATTTGTTAATGGGTTCTACTTCCATGACTCTGGATCTCTCTTGGTCGACAGCTTATTTTTTTTTATTTTTTATTTTTTATCCTCACCCGAGGATATTTTTCCATTTTTTGTACAGATAGAGTGGGAGGGAGAGAAAGGAAGGGAGAGAGAGAGAGAGAAACATCGACGTGAAGGGACACATCGAGTGGCTGCCACCCACACGACCAACCAGGGCCGGGGACAAACTGCAACCGAGGTACGTGCCCTTAGCGGGAACCGAACCCGGGTCTCTCCGGACCGCAGGCCGACGCTCTAACCGCTGAGCCAAACTGGCCAGGGCTCGACAGCTTATTTTGTTCATTATGTTCCATACATAAGTAAGATCATGTGGTACTTGTCTTTCTCTGACTGGCTTATTTTGCTTGGCATAATACTCTCCAGGTCCAAGTTTTTGTTTTGTTTTTTTTTTTTTATTCTAAAGCCAGATTATTTCTGTTGTCCCAGGCTGCCTTCTCCAGAAAGGCTCTGTTGGGCTGTCTGAGAGCTGTACTCATGATTACCACATTGATGGAGATTCAGCTCATGGTGTGTGTGTGACAGATGTACTGGAGTACAACCTCAGACTCTCTTAGAGAGTCCACATTCATAGCTTGTTGCTCATTTAGCCTGGCTGGCTACCTGCTTCCAGCTTTAAAAAGTTAAAAGGAATACAAATGAGCTATTCCAGACCATTATGTCCTCTTTCTTGGTTTAAATTTAATTTCTAAATATCACAAAGTGATACCTACCTTACTTGGACTGCAGCCTTGTTCCTCTGTCTTTGTTCTTCCTCAACTTGTGGCCCTGCCACCTATATACCAACAACTCACAGCTTCCATCAATGCTGACCTGTCCTCTGAGCCTATGTCTGGATATCTAACTATATCCAGATATCAAGTCAAACTTCACAAACTGAAAAAATGCCTTCAGTCTAAATTTGCTATACTTCCTTGTCTTTCCACCTAGAACCTGGTTGTAGAAACCTCAGTCTTCCTAATATGCATCACTCCTCACTCATCTCTTTATCATTCAGTACCGACCAGGTTCCCTAGATTTCATCTCCTTTGTAGCTCCCAAATCTGTGTACTTGTTTCCACCATCATCACAGCTTCTCATCCAGCCACCATCATTGCTCATGTGCATGACAGAATGCCATCATCCCATGCATTTGCTATGTTTTCTTCACAAAACATCTAGAGTGATTCCAGAATTCTAGATTCCAGAATTCTAGAATGTAACCAGAATCAGATGTCTTTCTCTACCCCTGTTAGAAACCTTTCATTGCCTTTTGTTGCCTTCTGGATAAAGTTCAGATTTCCAGTGTGGCCCATAGCCCCTGAGATCCAGCTTCGGCCCACCTCCAGCTTACCTAAAGTTGCTCTGCATTGCAACAGGCCTCTCAATTTTACCATGCTTCTCCCACCCTCGGGGAGCCTTCACACATACTGTTTCTTCTGTCTAGAACATTCTTCCCCTATCTGCCTAGTTAACGCTTCTCTCTTCCTTATAGCTCATTTCAGGCATCAGTTCCTCAGAGATACTTTCCTAGACCCATTCCCCCATGTCTAGAGCAAGTTCCTCTTGTACAATATATTCTCATTATCCTGAATATTTAATCAAAGTCTGCCTTCCCATTAGACCATTAAACATCATGTGTATGGCCCTGGCCGGTTTGGCTCAGCGGTTAGAGTGTTGGCCTGTGGTCCAGAGAGACCCGGGTTCAGTTCCCGCTAAGGGCACGTGCCTTGGTTGCAGTTTGTCCCCGGCTATGGTTGGGTTGTGCAGGTGGCGACTACTCAATGTGTCCCTTTCACATCGATGTTTCTCTCTCTCTCTCTCTCTCTCTCTCTCTCTCTCTCTCTCACTCCCCCCCCCCATCTGAACAAAAAAATGGAAACGATGTCCTCGGGTGAGGATAAAAAAAATAAAATAAACATTATGTGTATGTCTGTTCAACATTGTATCTTTAGGGCCTAGGACATAGCCAAAAAGTACATATTGGGAATGAATGAAGGAGTGAATAAATAACAGAGAGTACCATATCACGTAGGCCCACACTAGTAGGCCAAGTGTGTGTGTGCAGATGTTAGTCTTACCTATTGGCTTTGGTCAGTCTCCTTTGGCTTGTCCCAGTTTCACATTGTCATAGTAGCATTGTTAGAATGACTCAGATGAAAGCACCATTTTAGTTTAGTTGACAGTCCCTAACTGCTTGGTACCCGCTAGCATATCTTGCAGCAGTTTACTCTGAGTAAGGCACACAAAGGGCATGCCAGTTTGTTAAGTAAAAAGATGCTTTGGCTAAAAATCTCAGGTGCTGGATTTTGTCCCACTTCCCTCCTAGCCTGAATCAGGATCTGAAGACAGAGATAAATAGGAAACACTGTCTGCCCTTAAAGAACTCATAGGGAAGACAGAAACTTAATATATCAACACTGTGCAAAGTCACATCATCAACATAAGAAAAGGTGCAGAGGTAACTGATGATGAAAATATTATTTGTTGCCTGCCTACTCTGTGACTGGTACTTTATTTCTCACTGTCACCCTGTGAAGTGGGTGCTATATTATCCTCATTTTACAAACGAGAAACTTGAGGCTCGGTGGGGTTAAATGACTTACCAAGACTGTGAGTGAGTAAGTGGCCAGCGTTCAGTAGCAGAAAGCCCTGTCTCTTCACCGTTGTTTGATCCTGCCTCAGTGCAGAGGGAAATCAGAGGAGGGATTGAAGAGGTTGGGAAGGCTTTCCCAGGGGTGAAATAAAAGCTGAGCTGGAAGTGTAAGGAACAGTTTCGCACAAACCTGGAGCAGGTAATGGCTCTCCAGGGTAAAGAAAATGACTTGAGTCCCAGAGGCATTGAATGAAATGGCATGTTTGATGAGTTCTGAAGAGTCTGGTGGTGCTAGAGCACAAAGGGGGAAGAGAGGGCCATGAGTGGGAGTCAGAGAGGCAAGCTGAGCCTGAACAGGTCTGGTAGAGCATGGAGTGCCAGGCCGCAGAACTGTCGACAGCCTTGCAAGTCAGCCCTGGGTCTCTGCGACTCTGCTGACCTTAGCAGCCTCAGGGCTGAAGCTCTGAGCTCCATCTGTCTCTCTTACGGCAGGAGAGGTGCTGAGAGGGGACCGGATTGTCAACACCCCTTTCCAGGTTCTCATGAATAGTGAAAAGAAGTGTGAGGTTCTGTGCAGTGAGTCTAATAAACCAGTGACCCTGTCCATGAAAGAGAGCCGGCTCGTGGCAGAGCGGATCACGGAAGACTACTATGTCCACCTGTAAGTTGTCCTCTGCTCCCTGCCAGCCTCGAGTTCCCACTGGGGAGGGCACTGCTGGGAGAGGCGGTTCAGAGGGACTGAGCAGGGCCTTGGGTTTCCAGCATTGCTGACAACCTGCCTGTGGCCACTCGGCTGGAGTTCTACGCCAGCCGCGACGGCGATGACAAGAAGAAGGAAAAAGATGTACAGTTTGAACATGGCTACCGGCTTGGCTTCATGGATGTCAACAAGGTAGAGTGTTTTGGCATGCTCAAAGGGCTCGGGAAGCTACAACCCAAAGTCACAAGCACTTGGGACCACAGAGGAGGGGAAAATATTTAGCTTTAGGCTTATAATAGGTTGGGGCCGGCTGAGGTAGGTTCCTGCAGGTGCTCTTGGGCAAGGCTCTTGCAGTGCTAACCAAGGAGGTGGAAGCCAGAGTCCCTAAAAACCTCAGATTTCATGAATATAAGATAAAACCTCTCTAAAAAATTTCTAAGGACAAAAACATTTCTTTTGAGGCACAGCCACTCTCCTCAAAGGGCTTCTATCCTAATAAGGAAGAGAACTGACTGTGTAAGACCCTGAATCTTATGTCCCATACCTTTCACTGACCATGTGCCACTGCAGTTCAGTTCCAAAGCAGTTCAAAGGGAGCTCGGTATGCATTCAGATTGTCACCGAGGATGTGGGCCTTAAAAAACAGGTAGGCTTGCGCCCAGTGGAGTTGGGGCGGCATTCTAATTAGAGTAAATGCTGTGAACAGAGCTGCAGTGTAGAGACTGTTCATGGGGCAAGGAGGAGCTCAGGGAGACAAGGTGAACTAATGTGTCTTTGAAGATGATGACAATCAGATGATGGAAAGCCTTAAATGCCAGGCTTAGAGATGGGCTTTATCAGGCGGTAAACCCTTAGGAAGCCCTGGAGGGTTTCTGAGCATAGGAAAACTGTAAGAGCAGTGTTTTTGAAAGGTTGGGACAGCGGGTCTGTTGGACAAGGGGAGTGACCTAACACCTAGTGTGGTCTCCTAGAGTGATTTTTCTGGTCGTTTGTTGGCTGCTAGTTATTTGATTTTCTCTGTTGGTGTGTTTTAGATCTACCTGCACAATCACCTCTCGTTCATCCTTTACTACCATCGAGAGGACCTGGAAGAGGACCAGGAGCACACATACCGTGTCGTCCGCTTCGAGGTGATTCCCCAGAGCATCAGGCTGGAGGGTGAGTTGGGAGGTGTTAGCAGAGGGGCAGGGCTGGTGATGGATGGGCCTGGGCTTTTACACCCTGGGACTTCTCACACTTTATTCCTGAAATAGCTGATAAGGCCCCATTGTGGTACATGGGCCCAGCTAAGGTAGGATCACTGCATTCCCATTAGAGAAGGTGAGTGCAAGGGGAAAGCTGATATCTGTTGTGTTCCTGGCCTGGCACCTTACCAGTTTACCACCTCTGGCAACCGCCACATAGATTTGGTGATTAAAGATGAGGAACCAGTGGCTCCAACAGGTTGGTAAGTTAGCTGAGACTAAACAGCAACTTGGGGCTTGCCTGGGCCCCTCATTAAAACCAGCCAGCTTTCCCTGAGTTGAAGGAAATGGGCAACTAGTTTCTATATTTCTTGTCCTCTGTGTAAGTGAGTGGTGTAGACTAAAATTCGCCCAGGATCAGCAGACCTGATCCAGTGTCACCTCACCTGTCAGCACTTGCTTATCACAGGGCACACTTTAATTTAGGAGGCCTGGCCTTTTGTCCACAGTGGTGGTGGGTTTTGGGTGGGAGGAGGGTGTTGTTGATTGGTTCTGTTTTTAAGCTGTGGAACCTAGTTTTCAAACAAAATCATACATGGAAGACTCATATAAAACATCCTGTACTTTCAGAGCACCATACTGCCTCTCTGTGTGTCATGAGCAGAGCTGTACATTTATTATGTGATTGTTTTGACATCATTTCTCCCCCATTGGCTCTCTGAGGTCAGATACACTCTCTCCTTTTCTCATCATTTTATCTCCAGCACAGTACAGTACCTGGGACATAGTAGGTGCTTCTGATATGTTTTTTAGTTGGATAAATGGCAGATAACAGGATGAATGAATGAGGCATCTGAGTGAGCAGATTACTAAATTACCAGAAATTTGGGGACTTGGTGAATGAGTAAACATACGATAGAATGAGTCCATGTTGTTTTGTATGTTGAATGGGACTGAGTAAATGAACATTTGAATTGAGTGAAGGAAGATTAATTGATTAAATGACGGGCTCAACCCCCCCCCCCACCCCCCCCCTCACCCCCCCCCCCCCACACACACACACATACACCTCTCTGCAGCCCCTAAGGCCCTTTGGAAGGTCAGAACTCTGGGGAGCTGTTCTTCCAGCTTCCACTCTGAGCCTGGATCCCACTTGCATACCATCCCCTCAAGCAGCTTCTGAAGGCACCCCCAGAACAGCCCTTGGGTAGTAATGATGGCCCCTACAGGAACAGACTGAGTCTCTGTCTCTCACAGACCTCAAAGTAGATGAGAAGAGTTCATGCACCCTGCCTGAGGGTACCAACTCCTCGCCCCAAGAAATTGACCCCACCAAGGAAAACCAGCTGTACTTCACCTACTCTGTACACTGGGAGGTGAGAAGGGGCTGAAGCCCACAACAGGGGAGGAGGGTTCTGTCTGGGCAGGAGTTGTCTAGCAGGAGGCCTGATTCTAAGTGCTTACTTCCCCCACCAGGAAAGTGACATCAAATGGGCCTCTCGCTGGGACACTTACCTAACCATGAGTGACGTGCAGATCCACTGGTTTTCTATCATTAACTCCGTCGTCGTGGTTTTCTTTCTGTCAGGTGAGAGATCTGTAGATTGGAGCATGGAATGGACAAGGGGGTAAGGGATAAGGGACTGAGGCATCACATCACTTAAGGGGGACTTCTCGGGTGTTCTCAGGCAAGCATGGGTCAAAAATGGGCCTTGGGTCTCTGCTAGGCATCAGGTACACAAAGGTGAACAAGATTCTGTCTCTACTCTGGAGAGCTGCTAAGGGATGGGTGCAGCTCGTGCTTAGTCAGCAAGACTTTGTTGCTGTGCATTCTGTGCAAGCGTTGTGCCACATGCTGGGGATGTGGTGGTGAGCAAACCCACCCCAGCCTCTGCCCTCAGAGTCTATGTTCTGGTGGTGGGATAGAGATAAAAAAGCACAGAAATAGTGGAGTGATCATTGCTATGAAGCAGATAAACAAGGTGACCAAATACAAGCTGTGAAGAAAATATAAAGGCTACTTTAGAGAATACCTCTCTGAATGAGGAGGAGCTACCATTCAAAGAACCAAGGAAAGACTAGTTCAGCAAGGGTCGCTGACCTGCAATTGGACAAGCCTGGTGAGAAACAGGATGGCAAGAAAGTGGTAAGCAGGGGTAGGGTGGCGGGCAGAGGTGAAATGAAACTGGTTATTTCAGTATCATATGATAAGTAAAAATAATGTTAGCTACGGTTTAATAAATGTTTAACCCAAACCCAGCTGCTGTGCTAACAAGCCCTTTATAAGCATCTCAGTCATTGAAGTCCCATGAGTTAAGATAAAGTTAGTTCAAGGTCATACAACCCATTGTCTTAACCACTATACTGGCATGAGTAGGAGTCAGTCAGGGTAGAGTGGGGATTCCCGGCAAAGGATAGCTTGGGTAAAGGCATGGAGATGAGAGAGCAATGTAACTATGAAGTGATAACAAAAGCAGCAAAGAACCAGGGGCGAGTGAGAGAATGGGAGCCTGGAGAAGCTGGTCTGACTAGGCTATGGAGCAGCTGTGCCGTCCTCCCTGGAATAAAAAGCAATGTCCTATGGTGGCCCATACCCATCTCAACAGCTCTTTCCTTGCCCTGCCTGGGGCCTGGTCCTCCATGCAGCCCTGCCTGAGTAGCTGGGTTAGAGGTATGCCCAGGAGAGGACCCAATCGGCTTCATAGCCTGTTCTCACTGAAGGAAGCCACACATGCCAGTCATCCCTCAGTGAAATACCAATCCCAGGAGAGCATACATCACAGAAGGCTTTGTTGGCAGTGCTGTTGACTCTTTCTCCCCTATTTGTTTCAGGCATCCTGAGCATGATCATCATTCGGACGCTCCGGAAGGACATTGCCAACTATAACAAAGAGGATGACATTGTACGAGGGCTTGGCTGGGGAGGGATGGACTTGGAGAGGGAGGGCAGTCTAGCACTAGGATTCTAGGCCTGCTAGACCAGAAGTGGGGTGTACATGTATATACGTTATCATTTATAGAGTGAACCTTAAAAATACTGAAAAGGAGAAGAGCTTTTAATGACCCAAAATGATGGGGATAGGCTTTCTGATTTCTAAGCACAAAAGCAATTGAAGAAATCACAGGGGGAAAAAACATAATGAATTTGACATTAAAATTTTTTAAACTGAAAAAAGATGATACAGTTAAAAGAATTGGTATAAAATCTCTTTTTAAAAAAGTTAAAATCTTTGATGTGATAATGAACAAAGAATTTACAGACCAGTAACTATACATGGCTAGTAAACATGAGAAAAACTACTTTCACCTCAGAGATAGACCCCAAAATTTCAGATTCAGCAATTATGAAAATATAGTTTTGGACCTTCAAAATAGCACAGACTTGTTTTGTGTAGAACTAATTGTTGGCGAGGTTAAGGTGAAATAAAGCGCCTTTCTGTGCCACCCATGTAAGTGTAAATTGGTAGTTTTCTGAAAAGTAATTAATTGGTAGTAGATATACTACAATACATACTATAAAATACTTAACTTGTTTTGACCCAGTAATTTAAGAATTTTCCTAAGGAAAGCATCAGAACTACAAAGACCTAGTCTAGAAATATTTATTGCAGGTTTTTTCTAATAATTTAAATAAACTAGACACTCCCTACTATGCCATAATGAGGGATTAGTTATATTATGGTATAGCTGTACAATGAAAAAGTATACAAACATTAAAGTAGTACTTCCAAAGAATATGTATTGGCATGAGGAAATCTTCACAAACATCAATGAAAAATAACAAGTGCACAGTAAATGTAGTATGATCCCAGTTTCATTGTTTACAAATTATATATACATATACACATACAGGACTAAAGGAAATATATCAAAACAATGGTATCATTAAGTATATGAATCATTTTATTTTCAGTATCTTTTTTTTAAATCTTTGAGTATGAGTTTTATATCTTTTGTTGTTCACTCTGTATTTTTAAAGAATTTTCTACAGTAAACATTACTTTTTGATCATTTGAATATCATGCCATGTACCAACTTTTTTTTACTAATTATACAAGTAAGAGCACATATTTTTTGTTGTTGTTAATCCTCACCCAAGGATATTTTTCATTGATTTTTTTTAGAAAGAGTCGAAGGAAGGGGGCGGGGGGAGAAACATCCATGTGAGAGAAACACATTGAGTGGTTGCCTCCCGCACAACCCTGACCGGGGCTGGGATTGAACCTGCAACCCAGGAACATGCCCTTGACCAGAATCGAACCTGAGACACTTTAGTTTGTGAGCTGACACTCTAATCACTGAGCCACACTGGCTAGGGCAAACACATTTTTTTTTATCCTCACCTGAGGACATTTTTTTTGCATTTATCATCAGAGCAGAAGGAAGAGAGGGAGGAAGAGAGAGAGAAACATCCATGTGAGAGAGACCCATCGAGTGGCTGCCACCCACATGACCCCAACCAGGGCCAGGGACAAACCGCAACCAAGGTACATGCCCTTAGCAGGACCAAACCCTGGACTTTCCCGTTCATGGGCCGATGCTCTAACCGCTGAGCCAAACCGGCCAGGACCAAACACATATTTTTAATCATTGAAAAAATAAATAAATTGCTTCTGAATCTCACCACCCAAAAACTATCAGAATTAACGTTTTAGTATGTTGATATTTACATTATTTCCATGCATTAGGTTTGTGGAATTTGGTGAGGAGATTTTCCTTTATGTAGCTATAAGCTTCATGTTTGTGCCCTCCTTGTCCCATGTGAGTTCTCTGGGAAGCACTGTATTGTGTCATTTACACTGCTGTGTCAGAGCAGAGCTGATTGACACCTGAGGGACGCTCAAGCATAGTCAGAGTAGGTCCTTGGGGATGGTCCTTATAGGAGCTACCTGCTCCAGAGCCGAAGACACAGCCTCACTTTCTGGCCCTTTGCTGTAGGAGGACACCATGGAAGAGTCTGGGTGGAAGTTGGTGCATGGTGACGTCTTCAGGCCCCCCCAGTACCCCATGATCCTCAGCTCCCTGCTGGGCTCAGGCATTCAGCTCTTCTGCATGATCCTCATCGTCATCTGTGAGTGAGCCGGGCGAGCCCAGTGTGGGAGACTATCACCAGCTTGAGCCTGAGTCTGAGAGAAGGGTGGGCTTTCCTCCCTGGTGAAAGAGGCATGTCATCATCTCTGGGCCAGACAGAGCCATCCATTCCAGCAGAAAGGCTGGGTCCTCTCAACCCCAGGCTTTGGTCATTTGAACCTCTTCAGAACTTTCCAGCACTGCTGATAGCCCACCACATCTACTCTGTCAGTGAAGCCACACACCAGTGCTGTGAGGTGGGCTTCCTTTTGCAGTCAGGCATTAAGTGATTTACCAAGTCAGTACCAGAATGAGGGCTGGAATCAGATCCTAGTTTCTCAAAAACAAACCCCCAAAACTTAAGTAGTTACAGTTCTGAAGTCAATCTGCCCCCAATTTTTTTTTTTATCATTTTATCCTTTTTTTTTTTTTTTTAAATTCTCACCCGAGGATATTTTTCTATTTATCTCCAGACAGAGTGGGAGGAAGAGAGAGAAATATTGATGTGAGAGAGACACGTCGACTGGCTGCCTCCCATACAACCCTAACCAGAGCTGGGGACTGAACCAAAACTTAGGTACATGCCCTTGACTGGAATCGAACCAGCAACTCTTTGGTTTGCCTGCGGATGCTCTATCACTGAGCCAAACTGGCCCAGGGCTATTTTTTTTTTTTTTTAATCCTCACCCGTGGACATTTTTCCATTTTTTGATCAGATAGAGTGGGAGGAAGAGAGAGGGATAGAGAGGGAGAGAAACATCGATGTGAAAGGGACGCATCAAGTGGCTGCCACCCACACAACCAAACCAGGGCTGGGGACAAACTGCAACCAAGATACATGCCTTTAGCGGGAATCGAACCCAGATCTCTCTGGACCGCAGGCCAACGCTCTAACCGCTGAGCCAAACCAGCCAGGGCCATTATTTTTTTTTTAAGAGAGTGAGAGGAAGGGGGAGAGAGAAGAGAAAGAAACATCTACATGACAGTGAAACATGGATAGGCTGCCTCCTGCATGCACATCCCCTACCATGGATGGCGCTCAAACCCGGGCATGTGCTCTGACCTGGAATCAAACCAACAACCTTTAGGTGCACAGGATAACGCCCAACCAACTAAGCCACACCAGCCAGGGCTATCCATTCTTTTTGTTGTTAATCCTCATCTGAGGATATTTTTCCATTTACTTGTTTATGTATTTATTTAGATAGAATGGAAGGGGGAGAGAGAGACATCGATTAGTTGCCTTGGTTGCCTCCTGCACAACCCTGACCAGGGCTGGGGATCAAACCTGCAACCCAGGTATGTGCCCTTGACTGGGAATCGAACCCACGACCCTTTGATTCATGAGCCAACGCTCTAACTGCTAAGCCAAAACAGCCAGGGTGTGCTATCCATCTGTTAATTGATGTATAACATTGTATTAGTTTAAGTTGCCCAACATAATGATTTTTTTATAATGACTTGATATATATATATATGTTGTGAAATGATCACCACAATGAATTTAGTTAACATCTGTCACCTCACATAGTTCCAATTTTTTTTTCTTGTGTTGAGAACTTTTAAGATCTAAGTTCTTGGCAACTAATCTGCCTTATTTGTATCTCAACTTCAAGCTTTGTGTCCTTGGACAAGGTTTATGACCTTAACTTCTGTGAGCCTCAGTTTCCCCATCTAAGAAATGGGGAAATGAACCTCTACCTCACAGGGTTGATAAGGCTGATTCAGTGAGCTAATGTTCACAGTGCTTTTAGCTCAGTGCCTGGTTGTTTGCAAATATGCTGTGGGATGTAAGCTGCTATTAAGATGTCGCCAGCCGAGGCTCAGCAGCTGATGTACCCCAGCTAAGACCCAGTCTTCTCCTGTAGAGAGAAAGGAAGTATACTTGCCCCATCTGCCCAGGGCCCTGTCAGCCTGCTTGGGATTGGGGTGGGGATGTGGGCCTGGCGATCAGCTACCTTGACTTTCTCTTCCCTCCACTCCCTCCATAGTTGTGGCCATGCTTGGGATGCTGTCGCCCTCCAGCCGGGGAGCTCTCATGACCACTGCCTGCTTCCTCTTCATGTTCATGGGGTAGGTGTGTCTGAGCGGGCTCTGGGGGCTGGAACTTGCCAGCTACGCTCCAGCTAACAGGTCCCTTGGTGTGGATCCTTGCTGTTTCCCACAGGGTGTTCGGTGGATTTTCTGCTGGCCGACTGTACCGCACTCTAAAAGGCCATCGGTGGAAGAAAGGAGCCTTCTGTGTAAGTGTCCTCAACTTCCAGTGTTGGTGGAGAGCTGAGAAGTTTCTTCCTGGGCTCCTTGGGAGCAGTGTAGGCAAGGCCCCAGGAGAGTTTTAGGGCCAAAGGCTGAGCAGCAGCATGATGGAGTGGAAAGAGGACATCTGAGGGTCAGGAATGCTGGACTGTACCCACAGGTGCAATGGGACCTCGTACGACCTTAGTTGCCACATCCATAAAATGAGGGGATTGAATTTAGGTGATTTTTAGCCTATTTACTCTGATGTCTCAAGCAAGAGAAGAAATGGATTCAGAATAACTGGATTTAGCCACCAAGCCTAAATGTGAAAGTTTAAGGTCAAAATCTGATCAGGGCTACAGGAAATAGTACACCCTGCTCAATGGTGTTAAGTGGCAGAAGAGGCCAGGCCCCTCATCACCATTAGTCTGTTTTCCAGACTTTGGTGCCTCTGTTTCCCTTAAGTGAGGACAACAACTGCCCTCTCTGTCCTCCACTAGGCCATAGAAATGGAAGGATGTCTGGGAGCCCTCCCTACCTCCCAGGGATCCCTGAGCCCCTTCTTCCAGAACAAGTGAGGCCTTTAGAGGACCTGGGAGATCCTTGGTGCCAAACTTAGAGAAGCCTTTAGTCCCATCATTCCGAAGTCATACAGAAAGCCTGGGGAAGGGGAGCTCAGACTGTCTCAGCTCTGGTTGCCACACCCCTGGCACATAGTAAACCCTCAGTATGGTAGAACCGTGATGGTGATTATTCTGACAGGATCACAAAGGGTCCAGAATTCTTGATACATCAATCATGTTTCTCAAGACACTGTGTGTGATCTACAGAGGCATAAAACCCTGCCCTCAACTCCCCAGGTGAGGTCTCCCATGAGATACCCTTTAGAGTCTCCCTCAGTGGATCCCACACAAATCTAATCTCTCTTCCCTCAAACCCACTCCTTGCATTTGGTGGTACTACCACTCACCCAGGCCACCACCTCCTCCTCAGACATCGTGTTGAGGGTTTTCCTGCAAACAGTCCATGAATTCCCTCCCATCTCCATCTCCAGGACTCTTGCCTAAGTTTAGGCATCTTTGCTTCTTGCCGCAACCCTGGACTATGCTAGGCCACCCTGGCCTCCCTGGTCTCCCTGCGAGTTTCTGACCCTTCCCTGGTGCTCTGACTCCTTCACAGGTGGGTGTCTACTGCAGCCCACAGAAGTGCAGGTATATATGATTGCTCTTCTCTCCAGCCTCTGCCATCATCTCTGCCCGGGCACATGGGCCACCCTGTCACTCTCTCACTTCATCTTTTGACTTGTTTTTTTGGTTTTTGTTTTAAGAAATAGTTTACTGCCCTGGCCGGTTTGGCTCAGCGGTTAGAGCATCGGCCTGCAGTCCAGAGAGACCCGGGTTCGGTTCCCGCTAAGGGCATGTACCTCGGTTGCAGTTTGTCCCCGGTCCTGGTTGGGTCGTGCGGGTGGCAACCACTCAATGTGTCCCTTTCACATCGATGTTTCTCTCTCTCTCTCTCTTCCTCCCACTCTATCTGAGCAAAAAATGTAAAAATGTCCTCTAATTAACTGATTTTTTATTTTTTTAGAGAGAGAGAGAAAGGGAGAGAGAGAAATATCAGCAACATTGATCGGCTGCCTCCTTCACGTCCCCTACCAGGGGTCAAGCCTGAAACCGAGGTGTGTGTGTTCTGACCAGGAATTGAGCCGGCAACCTTTTGGCGCACAGGACAGTGCCTAACCACCTGAGCCACACTGGCCAGGGCTCATCCTTTTACTCTTGCTAGCTCCAGTATCACTCCTCTAGGAGCCTGCCCACCCTTCTGTGTCCTCTTTTGTGTCCCCAGAGGAGCCTGGGCAGAGCCTTGTGCCTACAAGTAGCATCATATATGTTATTCCCCATTTATGGGTCTTTCTTCCTCCCTGGAACTTTTTTCCTTTTCTTACCCTTGGTATCTATCATGGTATCCAGTCCATAAATTTCATCCAGGGAGGCAGATAAGGAATTCCCTGGAGTAAAGCAGGAACATATAGGAAGGGGAGGAATGACATTTGAGTTGGGCCATGAGGGTTTCATATGGATGGAAGTGGCCAGCACGAAGTCCTCGGGTTCTGGAATCTACTAGATCCCAGTGTTGGCTTTGTTCTTTCCTTGGTTGGTAACCTTGAACAGCCCTCTGAGCCTGTTTTCCCATCTCTAATGGGGGATGGTTGCACCTGTTTGTGGGGGTCATTGTGTGGATGGAAAGAGACTGAGCATGAAAGGCCCTAGAACAGCATTAGCACTCAAGAGACAGAGATCCTGAGGTGTTTACCTACATGAAGGCCCAGGAACAGGGACATGCCAGAGCAGTGACCAGTTACCGGATTGGGAGGCTATGGGCCAAAGATGACACTGGCATTAGAGGTCCATTGAGTGCCAGATTGCAAGGGCCTCAGACATTGTGATCATGGCCCTCCTGGATGCTCAGGCTGCCACAGCAGTGAAGGAGGCTCGACTGTGGTACTGGAGCTTTGGTTTTATGGGACAGGGCCCCAGCCCAAGAGATTCTAACTGAATAGAATACGCCACAGGGCATCAAGGGCGTGCTCTGGAGTTAGACTGCCTAGGTTTGAACCCCGTGTTCCACCCTCAACTGACTGTATGATGTTGGGGGAGTATATTTAACATTGCTGGGCCTCGTGGCCTCTTGTCCTGTTTCCATCTAGGCCTATACTGAGGATTAGGAGACATGGTGCATGTAGAGCCTGGCACAAGCCACCCCAAGACTCAATTAGAGCTTAACCACCAGTCTAAGTAGGTTCGGTTGGGACCCAGACATACACATTTTATAAAAGTTTTATCCATTCATTCTTTATTCAAGAAATGTTTATTGAGCAGGTGCTGTGTTCTAAGTGCTAGGATTACATCAGTGAGAGGAGGGTGTGCTCTTCCCCAGTCTGTGGCATAGACAGACACTGATTAGGTAACAACAATATGGAATTATGAACTGGAATGAGAGCAAGGACGGGGCAGTTCAGGAATCTAAGAGGACAGAGAACAAGATCAGGGAATGCTTTCTCGGAGGAATGATTCTTGAGCTGAGTCCTGGAGGACAAGGAGGAGTTGAGAAACTCTATTCTGAGGGTCCCACTGGGACTGGTAGGAGCTCCCTAGATGAAGCTCCCCAACCTGGTCTCTCTTACTTCCAGACGGCGACACTGTACCCTGGCGTAGTTTTCGGCATTTGCTTCATATTGAATTGCTTCATCTGGGGAAAACACTCATCGGGAGCGGTAAGTGCCCTTCCCAGTAAGGGAGGGCCAGCTGTGCTCAGCTCCACTCCCGAAGATCACTTCCTGCTCTTCCCTTCCCTTTTCTGAGTCTCCAAAGTTCTGTGTCCAGCTCTAGGGGCTGAGAGCTAGCTGGGGTTTCCCCAGCCCTGCCCATCTTTTTGCCCCGGCCCTGGCCTTCCTGTGGTCTCAGACAGCTGGCCAAGTTTACTTCTCTGTCTGTAGGGAGATATCCACAGTCCAGGGGCCAACTGGGGAATTTCCCTTTGTCCCGATGAAGGGAAAGCTGCTTGGTGTGAGTTTATTAGGTCGGTATCCCAAAACAAGGCTTTCCTCCAAGAGGCCCTGCACCTCAGCACCAGCCCCTGCAGGTTGTCCTGTCCTCAGGGGGGATCCTGCCAGCCCCAGTCATTGATAGCAGGTGCCCAGGATTCATTGAGTAGGATTGTGAACTCAGTTGAGGGTTGGGAGATGGAGTCCTGATCTGTTAACAGGAGCAGGCATTTGCCCTCCCAGCCATAGCGGGTGGAGCCACCTCCTCTCCACCTGCAGGTGCTCACTAAAGGTCTTAGGTGAGGCTTCCAGGCCAGGCTGCCGGAGGACTGGGTTATTTCCAGTAGTCCAGAAGTCAGAAATAACCCATAATCCAACCACCCAGAAATAAATACATAGGTCTTTACTTTGTGTTTTTTCGGTCTTTTTTTTTTTTTTTTTTAGATTTATTTAAAATGGAATAATGTAATTTTTTTTTTTATCCTCACCCGAGGATATTTTTCCATTTTTTGTACAGATAGAGTGGGAGGGAGAGAGAGGAAGGGAGAGAGAGAGAGAAACATCGACGTGAAGGGACACATCGAGTGGTTGCCACCCGCACGACCAACCAGGGCCGGGGACAAACTGCAACCGAAGTACATGCCCTTAGCGGGAACCGAACCCGGGTCTCTCTGGACCGCAGGCTGACGCTTTAACCGCTGAGCCAAACCGGCCAGGGCTGGAATAATGTAATTTTTGTTGTTGGTGTTAATCCTCACTCGAAGATTTTTTTTCATTGATTTTTAGAGAGAGTGGAAGGGGGATGGGGGGCAGTCAGAAAGAGAGAGCGAGAAACATCCATGTGAGAGAAACATGCCCTTGACTGGAATCAAACCCATGACCCTTTGGTGTCAGGCCGATGCTCTAACCACTGAGCAACACCGGCCAGGGCCTAATGATGCAATATAAAAATTATAAAGTAATAATAGCAAACATTTATAAGGTGCTTACTTTGAAATAAGTTCTGTTCTAAATACTTGACATATATTCTTTTTTTTTTTAGAATTTTTATTCATTTTTAGAGAGAGGAATGGAGAGAAAGAGAGAGAAACATCTGTGAGCAAGGAATATCAATCGACTGCCTCCAGCACACCCCCTACCCGAAATCAAGCCTGCAACCTGGGTGTGTGCCCTGATTGGAAATTGAACTGGCAACCTTTAGGTGCATGGGATAATGCCCAAACACCTAAGCCACAAGGGCCAAGGTTCTTTTTGCATGATTCTTATAAAAACATACTTTAGAGAAGAGGATAAAGAAGAAAATGAAAAATCAGTTCTAATTCTCCATAGCCCAGCTGAGGAAGTACTATTAACTTTCTGGCATAGGTCTTTCTAGGTACCTATACATATAAATATTGGGTGTTTTTATTAAAATGGAGTTCTAGACATACAGTTCTATGCCTTGCTTCATTTGCTTAGTAGTATATTGTGGGGTTTTATTTTAACAAAATGGGGAACACATTATTTGTGCAGGGGTTCCCCCCTCCTTTTTTTCTTCACTTAACATACCAAACATATAATGTCCCTTGATTCTGGCCTCTTCATCTTCCCTTCATGTTCTCAGTTTCCTACTTCCCTGTTCTTTCCTCACTTCCTCCCTGAATGACAAGATCTGGGATGCTGTGGTTATATCTTCATAGCCCAAATGGTCTATCATGTGCACTCCACTTTTCCCCAGGGCTGGGGTCAGCTACAGCAGGTTCTGGCCAGGAGCCCTGTGGGGATTTGTCTGTAGGATCTTTCCTACCATGTTGGCCCTGCTGTACCCTACTTCCCTGGAAGCCCAGAAGGTCCCCTTCCCCCTGCACAGCCCCCAGCCTGGGCATCAGGACCTTATGGGGTCTCATGGTGCTGTGCCTTCAGGTACCCTTCCCCACCATGGTGGCCTTGCTGTGCATGTGGTTTGGGATCTCCCTCCCCCTTGTCTACCTGGGCTACTACTTCGGCTTCCGCAAGCAACCATATGACAACCCTGTGCGCACCAACCAGATTCCCCGGCAGATCCCTGAACAGCGGTGGTATATGAACCGATTTGTGGGGTGAGTCTCCAGCAGGGGCCTTCTGGAGTGGGTGGGGTCAATATTGCTCTCAGCCATCTCCTTAGGAGGACATGGAAGAAGGTGCTCTACCCCCAAGGATGAAGTGATTGGTGTTCTGCAGCTCAGCTGGCTCTAGTAGATTTCATGAAAGCTTAGCTTCGCTCCAAGATAAAGAGGACTGAGTTATGGCAAGATTTGGTGTTGGCATAGGAACCAGGACAGGGAGGGGAAGGGACGAGAGAGGTGGAAAGGTGCTATGACACAGGTTAAAACCATCTATTGGACCTCAGGCAAGTCACCCTGCCTCTCTGTACCTCAGTTTTCCCATTTATAAAATGGAGAGAATGATGCTCACCTTGCTTACCTCTCAAGAGGCTATAATGGCACAAAAGCATGCCAAAAGAATTAGAACCACCTCACCGTGTAAGCATTCTCACTCAGTAAGGCTGGCTGGGGAGAGAGCCTGGGCTCCTCCCATTGTTAACCCTCCTGTTCTGCTGCAGAATTCTCATGGCTGGGATCCTGCCCTTCGGCGCCATGTTCATTGAGCTTTTCTTCATCTTCAGTGTGAGTAGTGCTGCCTGTTCCCCTCCACACACACAGCCTTCACCCCCTCTAGCTTGGTCCCTACCCCTTCACTTAGGTGCTCTGCTTCTTACTGCCTGTAAAATTTCAGATGGACCATTTAACTTCTTGGAGCCCTTTTTCACCCTGACGAGGGATAACAGTCCTGCCTCTTAGGATGGCTTGGAAGATCAAATGAGATGTGTACAGGGTCTGGTGTGGGAGGGCTCAGTGACTAGAAACTGCTTAAGTAATACTGTAGTCTGTCACCATTACTATTAATATTGTTGCATCTGCTTTGATTTCTGGGTTCCTACACATCTTTACCTAAGTTACTCAAAACTCTCAGGGAAGTGGGGGGAATGAGGGCTATTTTCAGGTCATTGTGAGGCTGGAATGTAACAATGTCTATAAAAGGCATAGACATTCAGAAAACACTTGTTAAATTGTAGCTATTGTTGTGATGACAATTGCTCCTGTCCCAGGCATGCCAAGATGAAAGTTGACAGTAGGGCTTTTGACAGCCATTGAAATCTGTCTGACCTAACTTGGTGCCCAGCACAGAGAGTGCCTTGCACCAAGCCAGTGCTGGACAAGGATTCGCTGCTCTGGAGTGGCACAGACCCTACCTGCTGAGATTCCCTAGCTCACCCAGCCTTGCCAAGGAAAGGGTCAGGATGGGTTGGCTACCCTTGCAGGGAACCCATCTCAGTTCTCTTTGTGTGACGCTGGACCATTCACCAGCTTCACTGAGCCTTGACTTCTTCAGCTATAAAAGTCCACACTTTCATAGGTTCACATGTGGAGCTGTCCATGAAGCATGTAGCGCGCCTGGCATGTGGTAAGCTGCCCCTGAGTGGTGGTGGCTGCTGTGTAATTTTGATGAGGGTGGGACTCACTGCTTTCTACAAGCTTCCGTGTTCAGGTTGGGGCCCACCCATCTTAGGGTCAGCCATGCCCCAGCTACTCCTTAAAAATAGCCTGATTCACCCTCTGCTCCAGGGAGGAGGGGCCAGTCAGAATCACATGCCAGGCCCACAGCCCTGATGGCATCATGATGGTGTCTTCATTCCTACCCTGGTGACAAGCAGTATGCCAGTCCTGACTGAGGGCTGGTGTCTCAAGAACAGGCAGGATATGCTAAGGGAAAGGGCCATTGGGTAGAGGCAGGCTAGCTGAAGGCCAGCTGTGATATGTCCACAGGCAATCTGGGAGAATCAGTTCTATTACCTCTTTGGCTTCCTGTTCCTCGTTTTCATCATCCTGGTGGTGTCCTGCTCACAAATCAGCATCGTCATGGTGTACTTTCAGCTGTGTGCAGAGGTAAGGGGCATGGGGCCAGGAGTTGGAGGTGGGGTACCTGGGTCCAATATTGAATGGGTCAGTGAGGCTATCTGGGTTTTTCACGTTCCCCTTCTGGCCATGACGTTTGGGCAGTTACATCACTTCCTCTCTCTCAGCTTTCATTTATTCAGTGGGCTCGTTCATTAGTAGCTCTGGTTGGCAGTTGCTTAACCTCTCTGTGCTTTCCTCATGTGACGAGGATAGCTGTAGGACCTGACTGAGGGCTGAGACAATGATTAAATTGGGCTGATTCACATATAGCACTTAGAATGGTACCTGGCACATGGGGAGCATTTGCTCATGACTTGTTACTATTCTTTTGTTGTTGATTTTTTTTAATTGAGGTATATTTTGTAAACAGTAAAGTTCACCCTTTTTAGTGTGCTTTTGAAAACACATACAGTTGTGAAACCACTATTACAGTCAAGATATAAAACATTCCCATCACCCCAAATATTTTCTTACCCGGAGTCTTTAGCTCCTTGGGCAACTATGAAACTTGGAGAAGAGGCTCTGACACTTCTGTTTCCTCCTCAGGATTACCGCTGGTGGTGGAGGAATTTCCTAGTCTCGGGGGGATCTGCATTCTACGTCCTGGTCTATGCCATCTTTTATTTTGTTAACAAGGTACCACCCTTATTTTATTAACAAGACCCCTTAGCTCTTTTAAGGTAGGATGGTGGAGAGGAGGGTGCTGGGAAAAACTCAAGTGTCTGAATCTTGCTTTGTCATCAACAGTGGGACCAGTGCCAGTATACAACTGTCTCTGCTCTAGAACATGCGTGTTTTTAGGAAAGAGAGCATCTATATTCTCTATGTTTGGGAGACAAAAGCCTTCATAATATATGACCATGAGAATATTGCATGCAAAACCTGTGGCATACATGCAAAGGGATACTTAGAGGAAATATGTCACCTTACTGTGCTTTTAATAAGAAATAAAAGACATTGATAATACAGTATTCACCTCAGGAAGCTAGGGGAAAAAAGACTATGAAAGAATAAAGAAGGTAAATGAGAAGAGTTCATAAAGATAAAAGCAGAAAGTGATGAAGTAGCCTTTAGTGCCCAAATTTAAGAGCTCAGGCTTCCTGTCTCTGGATGCTTCCTTCCCTTTATTCAAGTACCATTCAGTCCTTCACAGTAAATACAGGATGGGCCAGGGCTCTGTCTGCATTTCAGATAGTCCATGCTGTGTGAGCCACATAGGTAAAGTGGGCAAATGAAAGGGAGCCTGGCTCACCTGACTCAGGCATATTCACAGAGCTCATTGTCCCCAAAGAGTGGTATAAGTAAGAATACAAACAGCTCCACAACAATTTGGTAGATTCATGCATGACACAAACGAGCTGGGCCATAGAAGAGTCTGGAGCGCTCTGGTGGATACCTCACATCTGAGGCTTACACTGAAGACCTGGTCTCACCAGCTGTACTTTGGGTCTCCAAAACCCAAAAGCAAGCAGTCCTCTGCTTGCAACCAGGTTGTATTCCCAAACTAAGATCATAGATCAGTTGGTGGAAGCTTGGAATATTCTTCCCCAAAAAGGTCAGGTTGGAAAGGACTGTAAGAATCATTTAGTGTGGTGCTACACCCCCTGCTTCCAGTGTAATGACCATGCCCCTCTTTTCCAATGATTCCAACAAGTGATCATCTAGCTCAGGGGTCAGCAAACTGTAACTCATGGGCCTATTTGTGTAAATAAAGTTTTATTGGAACACAGCCATGCTCCTTCATTTACATATCATCTGTGGTTGCTTTCACACCACTATGGAAGAGTTGAGTAATTCAACAGAAGCCATATGGCCTGCAAAACCTAAACTGTTTGTAATCTTGCCTTTTTTCTTTTTTAATTTTTTTTTTTCTTTATTGGTTTTAGAAAGAGAGGGAGGGCGAGGGAGAGAGAGATAGAAATATCAAACATTGATTGGCTGCCTTCTGCATGCCCCCCACTGGGGCATACCACCGGGCCGTAATCTGGCCTTTTAGAAAGAGTTTGTTGACCCCTGCTCTAGCAAATCTAACAACAGAAGCTACTGTCTCCAGACACTCCCATTCTCTCTTTGGACAGCTCCTGTCATTGTCAAGTTCATCCTTGATTCACACTGAAATCTGCCTCCCTGTAACTTCTGTCTTCAGACTGTAGAATTCCTAGAATCATCCAGAATAAATCTAATTTCCCTCCTCTGTAGTTCTATTAATCAGAACTTTTTTGAGTAGAAAGTGACCAAAACCCAATTCCAATTGGCTTAAACAAAAAGAGAATGTATTGGCTAATGTAACTGAAAAGTTTAAGAAGTTGGAGTTCTAGCTTCAGGCATGATTAGATCCAGCATCTCAAATGGTGTCAGGGCTTAGCTCTATGTGTTTTCTTGACTTCAGTCTGCTGGGGGGATCTTTCCAAAGAGTAGAAAGTTGGCCCCTGGCAGCCCTAGAGTCTCCTTTTCTCAGCTTTGCAGCCCTAGAACTAAAAGAACACCTGTCTTCTACCATGATATTATCAGTCCCTAAGAGAAGACTACTACTGGCCTGGGTTCATGCCACCCCTCACTGCTCCTCGGGTCCAATAAGATGGCATACTCTGACTAACTTAGGTTTTATACTAGGAATGACAGCCCCAGTAGGACCACAAAGTGGGGAGTGGGTCCTCCAAAATACTGGGCAGAAGAAAGACAGGAGACAGTGTTGGACAAGCAGATCCTAACTATCATACCCTCCTATCTGGCCCCCTAGAGTCTTATCACAGTCTCCTGTCCTTCCTCCCTCTGCCTCATTCTTTCTTCTCTGTTCTAAAAACCTCCTCCTCCATCCCCAGAGCCTTCCTTGTCTGTAAAATGATGGCCTTGGCCTGTTCTGAATTCAAAGGACCTTTCCAGTACTGCCTTTTTGCCTCATCCCTTTCCTGGTTTTACCACTGCCCTATCTCCTGCCCCTAACTCCCATCACTCTCCTGCTATCTCCAGCCACAAGAAAGCTTATAAAAGGAGAGGTGAGGGGTTGAGCCTGAAAACATGGCCTTCACCCCCAGTTTGAGAATGTTTGACATCAGGGAGATCTCAAAACAGCGACCTTATGAGCAGCCAGAGTGGCTCAGTTGAGGTCATCCTGTGCACTGAAAGGTTGCTGGTTTGATTCTCAGTCGGGGCGCTAACGTGGATTGCAGATTCAATCCCCAGTTTGGGCACATACAGAAGGCAACCGATGCATGTTTCTCTATCACATCAGTGTTTCTCTGTCTCTCTCCCTTCTTCTCTCTAAGCATGTCCTCAGGTAAAGATTCTAAAAAACGGGCCCTGGTTGGTGTGGCTCAGTTGGTTGAGCATCGTCCCATGTACCAAAAGGTCACCAGTTCAATTCCCAGTCAGGGCACATAACCAGGTTGTGAATACAATCCTTGGTCGGAGTGCATGCAAGAGGCAGCCGATTGATATTTTCTCTCTCACATCCATGTTTCTCTTCCTCTCCCTTCCTCTTTCTCTAAAAAAAAAATGTGTGTGTGTGTGTATTTATATATATATATTCTTATTGTTTTCTTCTGGGCTCCTGGCATTTTTTTTTTTTTTTATCCTCACCCGAGGACATTTTTCGATATTGTGTTCAGATAGAGGGAGAGGGAGAGAGAGAGAGAGAAACATCGACGTGAAAGCGACATATCAAGTGGTTGCCACCCACACGACCCAACCAGGGCCGGGGACAAACTGCAACCAAGGTACGTGCCCTTAGCGGTAACCGAACCCGGGTCTCTCCGGACCGCAGGCCGACGCTCTAACCGCTGAGCCAAACCGGCCAGGGCTGGGCTCCTGGCATTTTTGTGACCATGTGCTGCCCATGAGCCCTGGAATAGGCCCCGCACTGGCCCTGGTGTGCTGGGCAGGTCTTGATACCAAGGTTCCAGATTAGCTCCACTTGGCCCAATACATGCCAACTTAACACAGATCCTTGGCCTCCCTGCCCAGGCCTCTAAACTCTACAGAAGAGTCCAAAATGCTCCAAGATAAAATCCCTGTGTGAGGTGTTAACAAAATGACAGAAGCGTTCTGAGGAAGAGGACTGTAGGCTGGGGCAGGCATATGGTGGCTCTCTGGTCCTTAGCTGGGAATCTTAAACGCCCCTCTCCTCCCCCATTCCCTGTCTGCTGCTCCAGCCATCCAGGAGTATATTGTTCTGGGGACTGTGGAAGGTAAAGAAGTGACACCGCTGTGACTATTTCTACCCACTACATTCTGGCCCTCGCCCTCAGCCTTTCCCTGGGAAGATTCCTTACCTTTTGCCCCAGCCAGAAATGGCCTAGGTCGATAGAGTTGGGCCTCTGACTTCTAGCACTCTAGTCCCCAGGTTCAAATTCCAGCTCCTCTACTTCCTAGCTGTGGAACTGTGGGTGTTGTTTAACCCCTGTGTGCTCTATCTGTAACATGGACTAATAACCTACCATGGTGGTTGTGAGAATCCAAGACAGTGCACTGGCCTGGGTACTGAAGAAGGATCACTGTGGTCATGGGTCCCGTCTGCCCCTTGCTGCCCACCTGGAGCAAGCCTTTTCTGTCAGGCTTCAGCTTTGCCAAGAGATCAGTAAGGGGGTGGGCAGTTGGCCATGGCAGGTTGGTACTAAGTGTCTATCCCTCTTTTCTCTCCCCTGCTCATGCCCCAGCTGGACATCGTTGAGTTCATTCCCTCTCTCCTCTACTTTGGCTACACGGCCCTCATGGTCCTGTCCTTCTGGCTCCTCACGGGCACCATCGGCTTCTATGCAGCCTACATGTTTGTCCGCAAGATCTATGCTGCTGTGAAGATAGACTGATGCGGGTGGACCATGGCCAGGCCCACTCCATCCACGGACAGGAAGCCACCCTGCGTGGGGAACTTCAGGCACGCAAAATAAAATAACTCCTGCTCATTTGGAATGTAACTCCTGGCACAGTGTTCCTGGATCCTCGGGCTGCGTGGGGGGGGCGGGAGGGCCTGTAGATAAATCTTGCATTTTTCTTCATCATCTTATTCCAATTCTGTGGGGGATGAGGTTTTTTGTGGGTTGTTTTTTCTTCAGTGCTATGAAAGTTCCCTTCAGCAGGAACTTTGAGACCTTCAGATTCATTTTTGGTTTGGGGTTTTATTTCTTAGTTTTTTTAAACAATGGATCCAGCATGGATAAATCCACCGAGACATTGGATTTTGGTCACTGTCTCCACCTCAGTTCCTCAGGGCTGTTGGCCACCCCACAACTAACTGGAAGAGGAAACGCCGGGCCTTCTGGGGCTTCAGTAAGGTTTCGGAGCCTCTCACTGCCCATCCTCACCATTGATGCCGCGACAAGCACAGCTCTAGCCCAGACATGCGTCCTCAGTGCCAACCTGCTTCTACCAGCCATTTTTCCTCCCTCTTCTTGCCTCCCCAGCCTTCTCCCTGGGCTGCCGTAGGCAGGACTACCAGCCAGGCCTCTGGGTCATCTTGTCATCAGGAGCATGTCCAGTCTTGGTTGCTACAAGGAAATCCCCGGAAATACTGGGGAGCAGCGGGAATTTGCTGTACCAGAGAAGAAACTTTCAATGAACTATTTTTGTGCCAAGAAACCCTGGATCCAGGGCCAGGTACTTCCAAAGCCAAACCAAGTATCCACATGTCTGTGTCTGGACTAAGGGTCCTCACCCTTCAGGATTGCTCCCCATTCCCATCCTTAGGGGGTTGCTGTTCTTTGCAAAGTATGTTGGTGGCGGGGTCTCTCCTCCCCTACTTTCAGGGCAGAACAAGGCCTGGAGACCTCAGATCCCTTCCCTTAGATGGCTGGGGAGAGCCAATCCCTCCCTGACATCTACAGTCTCAGTGCCCATGTGCAGCTCTTAGCCAAATCCATCTCCCGCCCCCTCTCATCTGAGTTCTTGCCTCTTTTGGGGAACACCCAGAAAACTGCTGGTGAGAATGGAGATGGAAGGTACGTTCTGTCATTTCTTCCCCAATTTTTAGGAATAGGCAAGAACCTAGTTTCCCCAGGTTAGAAAAAGGGAGCTAACATGGCAGGTCTGGCTTCTTTATCAACACCCACTCTTGGGGCCAAGCCCCCTGCCCACTCTGCATGTCATACTTGCTCTTAAATTACAAGAGACCAAACCCGCCCTGGGATTAGGGTTTAAGTAACAGCCATTCACCCTTGCTCCAGCCCCTTTAGAACTCCCACCACAAGACAAAGCTCAGGATGTCGGTTAAGCTAGGAACACACTACCCCCTTCCTTCTCGCAGATTCTCCCAACGGCCCCTACCAGCTCCACCAATCAAACCAGTGAACTACTCAACCTTGCCTCACAGTGACTGCACAGTGCCAAGTGGCAGCCACCAAGAATCAGGTTGGAGAAAAGGGAACCCAAGCAGTAGAGAATGATAATGGAGTCTCATTTATTCAAATCTTGAATTTTTTTTTCCCCTAAGAGATGTTCTTTTTGGGGGGAGTAGGGAAATGGACTCCTCATAAAGGATTTAAACATCATCAATTTTTTTGACTTTTTTAATCATCATCATTATTTTTAATTAAAAAATGCCTGTATGCCTTTTTTTGGTCCAATTGTAAATAAATATACCATTGTCCTGTTGTCATGTCTCTCGAATCTCTTGCATGGGTTAGGGGTCTGAGGTGAAACAACTTCTCCAAATGGGTTGAGCTGAGTAGTTTCCCTCAAAGATCAGTCTCACGTCAGTGTAAGGCCACTGTTCCCCTGCTTGGTGCTAGTTCATATCCTCTCCCATTTGCTCAGCCCCTCCATTCTGAATCACAAGCATTTGCCCCTCTGATCCTACAAATAGGAAATGGTATTTAACTGTGAGCTTTGGTAGCAGTGAGACCTGGTTTTAAATTTCCAGCTCCATTATTTTACTGCCAGCTCACTTCACCTCTCTGCCAGGTAAGACTCCTTCTATTGCAAACAGTAGAAACAGATCAAATTGGCTTAAGCCCCAAGGGGAATTAATTGGCTCATAAGTCACCAAGGGAAGGAATGGTTTGGCTTCAGGTCTGGATAGATTCAAGGGCTCAAAGGATAGCATTAGGATTCTCCCTTTTTCCACTCTGCTTCCCTGGCCCATTCTGTCCCATTGTCAAGAGTCTTCCTTACCGGGGAGGTAGGGAAGGCATGGCACACTCTAGGCTTACATTAGTCAATTTGGAAAGCCTAGAAAAAACATCTGCTTCCCTACTTCAGAATATTTAATATAGCTAAATCCCAGAAAAGGTCTCTGGTGGGCCCAGCTTGAATTACTGCTTGCACATGGACCACTCACTAAATCAACGGTAATAAGAGTACTATTATGGGCCATATATTTCTAGGGTACTGACTATTGTGAATTTAAGCCTCACAGTAATCACTTGGAATGGGTGATGAGGGAAGAGACTCCCCGAGGTAAAGAATGTAAAGCAACAAAAACAATGGTTGCCTATTATACCCCACCCCCTCCAATCTAAGCCTCACTTAACTTGCTGTATTCTAATTTCTTAAAATGGAAGCTGAGGTCATTTATTTGAGGTCTTTTTGTTTTGTTTTGTTTTTCTTTTTCTAATAGGTATTCAGTGCTATAAATTGCTTCTTAAGTACTGCTTTAGCAACATCCCAGAAATTCTGATATGTTGTGTTTTATTGTCATTCAGTTCAAGATACTTTCTAATATCTGATTTCTTTCTAATTTGTGTGTTATTTAATTTCCAAACATTAGGGGATATTTTCAGGTACTATCTGTAATTGATATGTAATTCTACTGTGGGCAGAGACTTTGTATGACTTGAACCTTTTGAATTTATTGAGCCTTGCTTTATGGCCCCAAATATGGTCTGTCTTGGTAAATGCTCAATGTACACATGAAAAGAACGGGTATACTGCTGTTTTGGGGTGGAGTATTCTATAAATATCCATCAGGTCAAGTTGGTTGATAGTGTTGTTCATGTCTATTACATTCTCTCTAATGTGCCTGCTTGTTATATCCATGATTAAAAGAGGGGTATTGCAATCTTTGACTATAATTATAGATTTGTATATTTCTCCTTGCAGTTTTATTTTTGCTATATGTGTTTTGGAACTCTGTTAGGTACATACTGTCCTTTGGATCAATTTATCCCTGATATAGTCTGTGTTCTGAAATCTACTTTGATGTTAATATAGCACAGTACATCTTTTTCCATCCTTTTACTTTTAGCATATTTGCTTTTTTGTATTTAAAGTGTGTTTCTTATAGGCAGTGTATAGTTTGGTTTTGCTTTTGTATCCAGTCTTACAATCTCTTCTTTTTACTTGAGGTGTTGACCATTTACATTTAATGGGAGTGTTGGTTTGGCTAGGTTTAAGTCTATAATCTTCCCATTTGTTTCCTATTTGTCCTATCTGTTGTTTGCTTTTTCCTCTTTTTCTGCCTTCTTTTGGATAAATCTAGGACACTTTGCATTCTAATCTCTTTCACTGGTTTATTGCCCATAACTTTCATTTTGATATTTTAGTGATTAGGCTTTTTAGTATATGCTTTGAACTTATTATAGTCTACCTTTAACAACTTTATGTATAGCATAAGAAGCTTACAATATACTTCCATTTCTACTTTTCTAGCCTTTATAGTATAGTTGTCATTCTTTTTTATTTTATAAACCTCACAATATACTTTTGCTATTTTTATTTAAACAATTGTCTTAAGAGAGTTTAAATACTAAGAAAAAATTTCACATACATACCCAGGTAGTTATCATTTCCAGTGGTCTTCATTCATTTATGTAGACCCAATTTCCATCTGGTATCAGATGCCTAAAAGACATCCTTTAACATTTCTTGTAGTGAAGATCTAATGCTTTTAGTTTTTATATGTCTCAATTTTATCTTTGTTATTGAAAGATATTTTTGCTGGGTATAAAATTCTAGGTTGACAAATTTTTTCTTTCCTAGTGCTTTAAAGATGTTACTCTGTTATTTTATCATTTGTATTGCTTCCAACAACAGATCTGATGTCTTGTTTTTGTCCTCTCTATATGTAAAAAGTCTTTTTTTCTATATCACTGGTTTTGAGCTATTGATTATGAATGCCTTGGTATAGTTTTCTTTCTATTTCTTGTGTTTAGAGTACATTGAGCTTCTTGGAACTGTGTATTTATTGTTTTCGGTTACTTTGTAAAGTTTTAGGCAATTATTTATTCAAATATTTTTTATTTTCCCCCATCTCTCTTCTTTCAGCCATTCTGATTACTCATATATTAAGCTAATTGAAGATGTCCTAACCATTGATGCTTTTTTCACTTTCATTCATATATATATATATATATATATATATATATATATATTTTTTTTTAGAGAGAGAAAGAAACATCAATCGGCTTGTGTCCTGACCAAGAATCAAACCAGGACCTCTCAGTCCATGGGACGATGTTCAATCCACTGAGTCACACTGGCCAGGCAACTGTGTTTTATTTTGAATAGTTTCTATTGTTATACCCTTAAATTCATTATCTTCTGCCATATGTATTCTGCCATTAATCACATCCACTGTGGTTTTCATCTCAGACATTATCTTTTTTATCTCTAGAAGTTTGATTTAGGTCTTTTTTTATATCTTCCCCATCTCTACTTAACTTTTTTTTTTTTTGTACAGATAGAGTGGGAGGGAGAGAGAGGGAGAGAGAGAGAGAAACATCAACGTGAAAGGGACACATCGAGTGGCTGCCACCCACACGACCAACCAGGGCCGGGGACAAACTGCAACCGAAGTACGCGCCCTTAGCGGGAACCGAACCCAGGTCTCTCCGGACCGCAGGCCAACGCTCTAACCGCTGAACCAAACCGGCCAGGGCGCTACTTAACTTTTTATTGGGTCAAATATGTATAACATAAAATTTACCACTTTAATCATTTTAAAGTGTACAGTTTAATGGCATTAAGTTCACAATGTTGTGCATCCATCACAGCTAGCCATCTCCAGAACTTTCTATCATCCCAAACTGAAACTCTGTACCCATTAAATACTAACTCCTCTTCTCCCCCCAGCTCCTGGCAACCACTTTTCTACTTTCTGTCTTTATGAATTTGACTACTCTAGTGGGATCACACAATATTTATCCTTTTGTGTTTTAGTTTATTTAGCATAATGTCTTCAGGGTTTATCCACATTGTAACATGTATCAGAATTTTACTCCTTTTTAAGGCTTAATATTCTGTTGTATGTATGTACCACATTTTGTTTATTCATCAGGGGACATTTGGGTTGTTTTCACCTTTTGACTATTGTAGATAATGCTTCTATGAACTTTGGTGTACAAATATCTGTTCAAATCTCTGCTTTCAGTTATTTTGGGTATATACCTGGGAATGAAATTGCGGGATGCTGTGTTCATTCTGTTTAATTTTTTGAGGAACCACCATACTGTTTTTAGAGTGGCTATACCATTTTACATTCCTACCAGCAATGCACGAGAGTTCGAATTTCTCTACATCCTTGCCAATACTTGTTTTCTGTTGTTGTTTGGTGTTGTTTTTTATAATACCATCCTAGTTAATTAAAGTGGTATCCTTTTTTATTATTTGCATTAGTGGTTAGTGATATTGAGAATCTTTCCATATGCCTATGGCCATTTGTATATCTTCTTTGGAGTAATGTCCATTCAAGTCCTTTATCCCTTTTTTAATTGAGTTGTTTGTTTTTTGTTACTGAGTTATTTAAGTTCTTTATATATCCTGGATATTAATCCCTTATCAGATACATGATTTGCAAAATATTTTATCTCTGTGGGTTTCCTGTTTATTCTGTTGATAGTGCCCTTTGATGTAATTTGGATGAAGGGCATTTCTATTTCTTTTGTTGCCTGTGCTTTTGGTGTTATATCTGATGAGTCATTGCCAAGCCAATGTCATGAAGCATTTCCCGTTTTCTTCTAAGAATTTTATAGTTTTAGGTATTACATTTAAGTTTTTTGCCTATTTTGAGTTCATTTGTGTATGTGGTATAAGGTAAGGGTCAAACTTTATTCTTTTCTATGTTTTCCCAGCACAGTTTGTTGAAAAGATTGTCCTTTCCCCATTGAATGGTTTTGGCATCTTTGTCAGAAATCATTTGACTATATATATGAGGCTCAACTTAACTTTTTAAAGATATAGAATGCAATTATGACTTTCAGTGTTCTTATCTGCTCATTTTTACCTCTTTCGTTTGTGGGTTGGTTTTTATTGCTTATTTTTCTCATTGTGGATTATGTTGCTTGTGACTTTATAGGACTGACGATCTTTGATTGGATGCCAGACATTATGAGTTTTACCTTGTTAGGTGCTATTTTTGTAATCCTGTAAATCCCCTTGAGTTTTGTTCTGAGACAGTTAAGTTAATGTTAACAGTTTAATCTTTTTGAGTCTTGCTCATAAGGTTTTTTTTCTTTTCTTTTCTTTCTTTCTTTTTTTTTTTTGGTTTGTTTGTTTGTTTGTTTGTTTGTTTGTTTGTTTTGTGGTACATGCCCCTAGCGGGAACTGAACCCAGGACTCTCTGGTCCATAGGCCACCGCTCAACCACTGAGCCAAACTGGCCAGGGCAGATTTTTTTCTTTTAAACAATTCCAGAGAAGTCCTCATTCTGAGACTAATTATTGGCCACTACTGAGGCAGGGCCTTTCTAAGTATTCTCCTCAATGCCCCATAATACTGTCCCCAGTGCCATGGCTGGTGGGAATAGACACTGTTCTGTTCCCTTTCATCCTTCTTGATAGTTCTTTCTCTGGACTGCAGGCTGATGCCCTAACCGCTGAACCAAACCG